GGTCACAGGAGGTGATGGTTCTGAGGGTCACAGGAGGTGATGGTTCTGAGGGTCACAGGAGGTGATGGTTCTGAGGGTCACAGGAGGTGACGGCTCTGAGGGTCACAGGAGGTGATGGTTCTGAGCATCACAGATGATGGTTCTGAGGGTCACAGGAGATTATAGCTCTGAGGTCACAGGAGGTGATGGCTCTGAGGTCACAGGAGGTGATGGTTCTGAGGGTCACAGGAGGTGACAGCTCTGAGGGTCACAGGAGGTGATGGTTCTGAGCATCACAGGAGATGACGGCTCTGAGGGTCACAGGAGGTGATGGTTCTGAGGTCACAGGAGGTGACAGCTCTGAGGTCACAGGAGATTATAGCTCTGAGGTCACAGGAGGTGACGGCTCTGAGGTCACAGGAGGTGATGGTTCTGAGGTCACAGGAAGTGATGGTTCTGAGGTCACAGGAGGTGATGGTTCTGAGGTCACAGATGATGGTTCTGAGGTCACAGGAGGTGATGGTTCTGAGGTCACAGGAGGTGATGGTTCTGAGGTCACAGGAGGTGATGGTTCTGAGGGTCACAGGAGGTGATGGTTCTGAGGTCACAGGAGGTGATGGTTCTGAGGTCACAGGAGGTGATGGTTCTGATTTTTCTCAGGAGGTGATGGTTCTGAGGGGGATGGTCTCAGGAGGTGATGGTTCTGAGGTCACAGGAGGTGATGGCTCTGAGGGTCACAGGAGGTGATGGTTCTGAGGGTCACCGGAGGTGATGATACTGAGGTCTCAGGAGGTGATGGTTCTGAGGGGGATGGTCTCAGGAGGTGATGGTTCTGAGGGGGATGGTCTCAGGAGGTGATGGCTCTGAGGGCCACAGGAGGTGATGATACTGAGGGTCACAGGAGATTATAGCTCTGAGGTCACAGGAGGTGATGATACTGAGGGTCTCAGGAGGTGATGGCTCTGAGCGGGGGAGACGGTTCTGAGGATGTGTAGAATGAGTCCAGGGTTGTGACAGAACCCTAAATAAACCTAACCTTACGAGCCTGATAGTGAGAAACAGAATGGACTCAAACTTGTTCTGGGCTAGGAATTTTGCATGTGGTGTAATTTACAGCTCCTTCTGGGAAGCAGTTAGCATCCTGATAAAGTGTGTGGACCATTTTCTGACAGACTTTAACAAGACTGAGAAGGCCTTCGGGGAAACTAGGGTTACGCGCCCAGCTGATTGACTAGTCTAATAGCCCTTAACCAAATGGATTTTGTTTTTCCCTTTGGTATCCTTTCTAAACACGGTGAACCCTTCCTTTTTCCTCATCAAATGTTTCTAACCAACTCTTTCCATTGAATTTTTCCAAACTCTCTTCGAAAGAGAAATACGTGTGGGAGAGAATCAGCAGTGTGGAGGGGCATGGCAGGACTCGGTGGTGCGGATGTGGAGGTACGAGCCACTGTAGGAGTCACGTCCTGAGTGGCCAGTGCCTGCAGATACAGGCGGGGGCCCGAATCGGGCAGGGCCTCAGCCAGAGCAGTGTCCAGAGTGACCTGAGCAAATTCCGTTTCTTGGCATTGACCAAGGTGTGAGCCAGAGTTCAGGAAATCAGGAGTGAATGTGGTCCATTCTTTCAAAAAGTATAGTCTGAAAGAGGAGGAAGAGGAAGAGAGCTCCGAGAAGGAATAATAAGCAATAATAACCAAGTGTATTTGGGAAGGAGTCCATAGGCAGACAAGGCTGGTGTTGAGTTGGGAGAGCCCAGGTGTTCAGGGTCCTGTGAGTCTGTGGGGTTGGAGGTCAGGCATCCAGGGTCCTGAGTGTCTGTGGGGTTGGAGGTCAGGCATCCAGGGTCCTGAGTGTCTGTGGGGTTGGAGGTCAGGCATCCAGGGTCCTGAATGTCTGTGGGGTTGGAGGTCAGGTGTCTAGAGTCCTGTGAGTCTGTGGGGTTGGAGGTCAGGTGTCTAGAGTCCTGTGAGTCTGTGGGGTTGGAGGTCAGGCGTCCAGGGTCCTGAGTGTCTGTGGGGTTGGAGGTCGGGCATCCAGGGTCCTGAGTGTCTGTGGGGTTGGGTTGGAGGTCAGGTGTCTAGGGTCCTGTGAGTCCTGGGGTTGGAGGTCAGGCATCCAGGGTCCTGTGAGTCCTGGGGTTGGAGGTCAGGGGTCTACAGAGATGCTGAAGGAGCAAGAAGGAAGCTCTGAGCTGGACCCTTGGGGGAAGGAGGCAGGCAGGGAACCAAGAGTGCTCTCTGCATTCTGGAGACGGAGACTGTGGGTGCTGGGTTCAGGAGCCAGGCAGCACGGGCTGGCCATTTTCTCCAGAGGGGTCTACAGGTCCAGATTTGGGTATGAAGACGACTACAATAATTGAATTGATTGTTCTGGAAGTGTGTGCCAGGGGAACCAATGAATTTCTGCGTTGTTTTTTTCCCTCTCTGTCCATCCTTTGAGTTTTCGTGTGTGGCTTCTGGCCCAGGCCTACTTTCTTTTCTTTCTTTTCCCGGGGAGTTCTGAAGGGTGCCGTGAGTCTCAGCCGTCTTGGCGGCTGCACGTTGTGCCATTTAGTGCCATGCAACAATTGTAAGGCCGTTGATCTCTATCTTGCAGCTGCTAGAATTACTTTAAACATTTTTTGGGTACTGTGTACAAATACAAAGTTCCAAAGAGTACATACAACTAACCTTTAGATCATGAACTGTCTTACCTAGTTATCCATATTGTTCTTAGGCAATAAAAAACGCTGTCTCTGTGGTTTCATACTGACAGCAGTGTTTGTCAGTAAGCTTTGTTTGTTCATTTCTTCAAAGGAATGAGAAACTGCATATTGCTCTTCATTTCAATACAAACAGTATTTTAGTGCTAGGAGTGGAACTCAGGCTACAGAGTGCTCACTCCACATCCAACAGTCTGTCTGTGATTCTGTACTACAGATAAACAGCCCAAGTGAAGTGATGAGTGGTTCCAGAGGTTCAGTGTGCATGGCTGCAGTCAGGAGTGGAGTGTTCTGTGTCATGGGAGCCTCTGACATCAAGGGCATGTGGCGCGTCATCATTGCCTGGCCGGCGGCCATGGAGGGGAGGGGAGAAGAGCGTCTTCCTCTCCACACTGCCTGCTCTCCAGTCTCCCCGGCAGTGTGTCCACACACCTGGACACAATTCTAAGGCCTCAGCCTGGGGCTGGGGTGAGCGAGGGGGGACGGGTGGAGACGGTGGAGAGGTGACTGCAGAGGAGGGGTGTCAATGTAGGAGTGTCAGTGTAGGGGAGGGGTGATACTGTAGGGAGGGGTACAGTGACTGTAGTGGAGGGGTGACTGTAGTGGAGGGCTGACTGGGGTGACTGTAGTGGAGGGGTGACTGTGGGGTGACTGTAGTGGAGGGCTGACTGGGGTGGCTGTGGGGAGGGGTGACTGTGGGGTGACTGTAGTGGAGGGGTGACTGTGGGGTGACTGTAGTGGAGGGGTGACTGTGGGGTGACTGTAGGGGAGGGATGACTGTAGTGGAGGGCTGACTGTAGTGGAGGGGTGACTGTAGGGAGGGCTGACTGTAGTGGAGGGCTGACTGTAGGGGAGGG